TACAGGCCAGAGGCTACAGGGGGGTGGGGGTGAGAGGACTCACCAGAGACAGAGCGAGGAGCAGAACAGGCGGACTGACAAAGTCCACTGCTGAGGGGAGCAGCGGGCGGGTCAGGAGAGGTCTGCCGCGCCACGTGGGTCACCTCGGGGCGGGGATCCAGCTCGTGTGAGCTGCAGTGGCTGGGACAGCTTCATAGCGCTGTGTTTAACCCGTTGTGCCACCAGGGAGGGCCCTGTTGCACTTTTTTTAAGTTTCTGAATGAAACTGGAATGAACCACATTAATCCCACAGCGCCACAGTGCCCTTGAGCACACTGACGTGGGTTATTTTGTTTCAAACAATTTCCAGGCTCAGCAGACAAGTGGTTTCCCAGCTACTCTTAACATCGTCACCATCAGCACTGAGCTGACTGTATTTTAAAGTTACCTTGGCTGAAATACCATCCAGCTGCCCACAGTGTGACCAGGAATGCAGGGTAGAACTCCACACAGTTTTGCCTGTCGGAAAAAATTAGAACACAGGTTATTTGATGAGAAAATTTTACTCCAGAACAATGAACTTTATTCTAGAGGTAAATGTTCAGTCTTTTCTTACAAAAAATAATATAAGAATTTACACAAAGAACTTAAATCTCCTTACAGGTGAAATGAGTCTGCCCAGGTAGGACTCAGCCTGTTTAAGCTCAAGCAGGGCAGGGAGCCCTGTACCCCTGCTCTGGCCCACGGCCTGCGCTAGAAAGGAATCGAGCAGTTTGCCAATGCGCAGGTAAGGTAGGTAGGTGAACGGCTCAGGTGGGTGGGCAGGCCCGGGTAAGGTAAGGTAGGTGAACGGCTCAGGTAGGTGAGACTCAGGCCTCAGGGACCCTGGGGAGGTCCTGGGGTGCCGGTGCTCCTTGCTCGTTGGGCCTCTGCTCCGCACCCCGCTCCCCCCAACGCCCCTCCCTCTGCCCCCACCCTCCCACCCCATCAGAGCGTGTGCCCGTGGCAGGCAGGGACCCAAAGGCTGGGACACATTACTTACTGTGCCTGGAACATTCTCTCAAACTCTGGCGACCCCGAGACGGCAGGGGCTGTGATTTTGTATTTTGATCTTGCTTTTCCTACATGCAAAGCAAAGTAAGCTGCAAGCAAAGAGGACCCAGTGTTTAAAATGTGGCATGTCATTGTTCATCAGGAGAGCACACTTAGACCACAGTCAGGCCACGACCCGCCTACTGAAACACAGCCGGGCGAGACTGATTGGAACGTTCCCACTGCTGGTGGGACCTGGGAGCACAACCTCTTTAGAAACGTCTGGAGGGATTTTTCAATTAGCATACGTGGGCCATGTGACTCGGTCATTCTACTCAGCGGTGTCTCCCAGGAGAAATGAATCTGTCGGCCACCCAGTGAATGGATGCAAATATCCACCACCCATTTATTTGTAATAGCAAAGGTTAGGAACAGCTCTGTGATCGCTAACTGTATGTGTCAGCTAGGCTAAGCCATGGTGCCCAGCCTAGGTATTGCTGTGGAGGGCTGGAGCTTCAAATAAGGTGTCCCTGGTGGCACAGGGGTTAAAGTCTCAGCACTACCAATTATGCCAGCCCCTGGAGCTCAGGTTTCCCGGCCAGGGAGTGACCCACATGGTGCAGCAGACCTCTCCTGTCTCTCCGCTGCTCCCCTCAGTAGTAGATGTCAGTAGATCCCCCTGTTCTGCTCCCCACTCTGTCGCTGGTGAAGCCTCTCACGCCTTCACCTTTGGCCTATGCCCCAATTCTTATATGAGCAAATAAATAAAAATAAATCTTTAAAAAGAAACTAGTTTAAAAATGCAAATGACTCTATAAGCACACAAAGCAGGTCAGCGGTTTCCCGGGGATGAGGAAGACCAAAAACAAGCATTGCGGAGCATGTGAGGATCCCGTGTACGCTGTTGGGAGGAATAAGGACTGACCCAGTCCCTCCAGCGAGTGTGAGCTCCGCCCTCTGCCACACACACACACCCCAACGTGTGCCAGCCATGCATGACGCACGCTGCAGACACCACCTGCAGACACGCACGTCACGCGCCCACAACCTCACACCCCACGCCCGCCTGGGACCTTACTTTGCTGACAGGCAGAAAGCACAGAGACAGCGGCCAGCAAGACTGAACGCCCGGCCATCCTCCAGCGGGGCTCCCGGAACACAGCAACCCGGGGAGTCAACAAAGGCTCTCTCAGCCCTGCAGCTGACCTTCCCTGTAAGTAAACAAAGCCGGGGAAGAAGTTTAAAAAAAGCAGCCATGGAGGTGCCGGGACCTTTGCTCTGGGGCAGGCCTGCCGACTGCCTGCGAGGCTGAGGCCTCCCTCCTCACACCTAGTCCCCCCCAGCGCCTCGCCCTGCTGACACCCTTCTCACCCCCTGTGGAGACGGAGAGGCGAGGGAAGCATTTCCTTCAGATCACTGAGATTTAAATGCCCAGTTAAATGGACCCTGACTGATCCCGCAGGGGCGGCCCCAGGATCTGAACCCGAGTCCCAGGTGCCACTGGTGCCTTCCTGCAGCAAGCTGCTCCCCGTCTCCTTCACCCGCGGGGGTGACCACTCGGATGTGTGTGCTGAGGAGGAGGAGGACACTAGAGGAAATAAGAGCCAGTACTCAGCTGCCCACGGCTGGGCCCGGGACCGTCCACAATCAGAAAATGTCCCCCGGAGAGAACAGGCCCCCCCACAGGGGTCTTCCAGAACCTGTCACCTCTGCCTGTCCCCTCTGTCAACACCAGCCTATTGCTCTGGAAGATGCAGCTCCCAGGCCCTCCCTGGTGGCGCAGCGGGTGAGGACCAGCACTGCAAGCCAGAGGAGCCGCTTCAGTGCGAGTTCGATCCCCGCCTGCCCCGGAGGTGACCCACATGGCCAGCAGACTTCTCCTGACCCCCTGCTGCTCCCCTCAGCAGTGTACTTTGTTGACCTGCCTGTTCTGCTCCCCACTCTGTCTCTGGTGAATCCTCTCACCTCCCCTGAGCCTCTG